TGTACTTACCTCGTTATTGCGCTTTCGAAAACGAGATACATTTACACGACCATTTTATCCAGAAATTCAACCAATAAAGTAGTTTACTGCCTACACCATATAAAATTTAAGATCAAAGTGGTAGGTAGGTTCGATCCCTAATTGATTTGATTACGCCGGCATTAACCAAGCCTTTTCATCTCGTTATGGGGCGGATGTGGCCGCGTCTTGAAACCACACTCTATATTGCATATTTCTTGTATAAAAAGACAAGTTGCTTAAGATTATAACTTCCATCTCATGCTTTCAAATATTCAACACAAATATTTTTGATAATATTCTAAATGTATACTATCATACCAATAAGAACAAATCACACTGGTAAATTCAATTTTGCCCTGGTTTTTCATTTTCCCACAAGTAATTATTTCTCTAATCAAAATTCTCTTTTGATTAGGAAGGTGAACGTCCACCTGAGAATCCAATAATCGCTAATGAAAATCATCGGAAAATTAAAACGAAAATTGTACATATGGGACCCACTTTAAAGCATTGAAGTCAGTGTAAGAAAATGAAAGAGTATTTTCGTAAAAAGAGATGAAGAACATTGACAAGTCCTGATTGATATATTGGAGTAATTTTGGCCGAATTTTATCTAAAAGCGGCCAACTTTTGTGAAGTGTTGTAACATTATTCATGCGCAAGGAAAGTGGAACAAAGTTCCAATAAAAATGCAATTTATTACTATAGATAGACGACGCATCATTTTGAGTAATGAAATATGCGACTTATTTTAGAAAATGTAACATCTAACAAATAGAAAACATTATAAGTTACCGTATTAATTCTATGTTATTAATTATAGTAGTTGTAGTAGCCTAATGGTTTAACCGACCGCCTCTGAACCAAAGGTTTGAATCCCGACTCACACCTCTCAGTTTTTCGGAATTAATATACGAAATTTACTTTAATTTGAAATTTACTATGAGCTTTTCGGCGAAGGAAAACATCGTGATGAGAACAGCACGTGGAAGAAGATTCATAAACCTCAGAAACTGTGTGAACTCCCCAGCCCGGATTGGATCAGCGTATCGGACAATGGCCTAACTAAACCATCGTTAGAGAAAAGACCCGTGCACACCAGTGGAACTTATAAGTAGGTTGATGATGATGATTAATGATATATTATACTGTAGTTATGTATTCTTTTTTTTTTCATAGAAACACTCGTCAGTTATTACCTAATAGAAATTCCAATTAACCCTTTTAAATTTTAGGTACCAAGTAACTATTTTCCAAGCAGCGAGATTTAAGTAAGACACAGAGTTCTTCGGGGCTCGAAATATCGATCAGCTCAATCTTTCACACCGCAGTGCCAGCTGCTCACTGAAAATTACTTTCGAATAAATCTGCTCAACTTGTTTCGACAATGCACTCGCTCTCAATGTGACGCTATTTAAGTCTCGCTTCAAGGCTGTGTGGAGTTAGTTTAGACAGTTATTTTGATTTAAAAAGTTCTCTTAGAAATTAACTTAGCATTTCTTAAATAAATACTTTCGACCCACGATGAAGATAATTTTCATAGGACAAATTGATCGTATAATTTTAGAAAGGTAACATATTAAACAACCACATAGGTACAGTTGATGCCCTAATATACCTGACCTCCTATCTGACTTTTTGGTTCTGAGAGTCTTTTTACGCATTCAACAGAAAACTGTAAAGGAATTCCAGCTTTTTTGTTAAAAATTGGTTTTTATATAATGTAATTAAAAATCAAATTTGGCTTAAACAGTTTTTTAAAACGTTATTCACTAATGATGCAATAAGGAAGTCATACCAAAATGAATTTCACGTCTCACAGGTAAAGATTAAGTTTGTTTAACACCTTTCTTCACATGCTCAGAACCAAATATTAAATTAAGGGATCAGGTATCGACTGTACATATGCTCTCTCCAAAATAGGTCGAGTGCCTATTATTAGGTATTCTGGTAGTAAAACATTTCAAATATCACGAGAGACGCTGCTGCCAGTCCGTCAGATTTCGGCAAATACCACTGAGCGCCATGAGTGAGATCCGATTGCGTATTCAAACATGATATTTCATACAAATTCAATGACACCATATATACTTCTACATATTTTGTACTCCTTAATGGAATACGTATTAGAAATTAAAATGATTATTTAAGTATTTTAGGAATGTGTAATACATATTCTGTGGATGTACCTTATTAAATAAATAAATAAAAATAAAAGTATTGGGACACAGTCGACATTATAGTCTATAAAATGCTATAGAAGTGGTATAAAGGGTGTAAGGTAGTCATCATCAACCCATTTATACGTCCAAATGCTGGGCACAGGTCTCTTCTCAGGCGAGAGTGTAGGCTATACTCCGCCACGTTGGCTTTTTCGAGGGATGTGAACCTTCACCGACGTGCAGTTCTCGTCACGATGTTGCCCTTCGCTGAAAATCTCATGGTAAATTTCAAATTAAGTAAGTAAATGTAGTTGGACTGTAAAAATTTAAACTGCTTGTTGGGTATCTCAAACACAAAATAAAGTTATTCTATATACTCTATCTTCGTTAACTCTAGATTTGTATAAAAAATTGAAAAAAAAAATCGTATTCCTATTTGCGACATTAAACAACTTTTTTCCAATTTTCTATTACTTATGTAACAGCTTGTATATAGTTGATAAATTGTGGTATACAAAATGTTTTAATGAAACAACCGAGACCAAATTCGATTATATCTTTTATTTAAAATATCATAAAATGATATCAACATCTTAGAATTAACATTGATAAATAGAGTTGCGTCCGCGCTATTAAATGAGTAACATGATATTCCAATTTATTTACAAATACAGTGATTGTTCAATATTATTGTCGTAATACAAAGATTATCAAATATTATTGTTATGGGAAAACAATTACCGAATTTAAGAAATGTTTATTCTCAACAATTTAGAATGTAAATCATTCACCATAATAACTAAATACACTAGCTAATTCTTTAAGAATAAAATAAAACTATGATAATGAAATTAAATATCGTTTTGTTATACACAAAATTTGGCAATTTCCTTTGAAAGTCCAATTACAATTCCACCTTGAAGGCAATTAAATCTCTAATAGTTCTCATTTGTTTTTGAGTTACTACAAGCTATTTCAGTTGTCAATAAAAACGAATTTCGTGATAACAGACAACAATAAAATAGCTAATAGGTAGTTACTCCTACATATTTATTTCAAATATACGAAACACTTCGTTTTAAGTATATTTACCATTAGAGAACGTATCGCTAATTTGAAATAATGTTTTAAATTAAATTAATATTTATTATCTGTTACCTTATTATACTTACTAAGACATACCAATAATATTGTTAATACTCGTACAATAGTGTATTAACTCAGAAAATGATTTTTTTAGAATCGATGAAAAACGATTTACTCACTTCTCGTGAAAGGACATCTAAATAATTTCTAAATAATTTTTTGAGTAAGGACTGTTTTGTCCAGAACTAGCCCACGAAAACTTTGTCTCATTTTGAGTTAAGTAGATATTATATTTTAATTGTCTCTTACAATATTCTAACGACGGTTTTATTGACGTGTAGAGAATCAAATTTTACATTCAGCAATAGTATAATCTTGAATTTCACATATTCTGAGTTACAACACTATTGTAATAGCAGTGCGATATTAAGTTCATTAAATATCACGATGTTTTCCTAACATGACATTCAATTATTTTGTTGTGAAATTACTCCACTACTTTGTTATAATTACGAATACAAAGATCGAACACAAAGAAAAATTCCTTTGTTCCGGCTGGACTCAAACCAGCGACCTTGCTATACGGTGGCTGATACTCACCCAATTGAGCTATGAAAATAACCAGCAAACCTTATGAATTTGTCTATATGCTTGTTGCAGATCTTTGTTTTTGGTTTTACGACTTTTTTACCATAGCGCCATCTGTGAGAAATTTATGAAAGTTTTCTTCACGCTATTGTTGTTCTTAAATAAGTAAGCTTCTAAAACATTAAAAAGAAAACCTTGCCAATATCAACATACATGAACTACCTCGTTCGTTTCGGCTACTTAAAACTGATTAATAATGATAGTAATTTACATTCAGCAAAAACACTATATAATCGCGTTATATTACGCTAGCGATTATATTATTTGCTAAATGTAACCTAACCATTAACTCTATTCGCCGATCCTTATCAAAAAATCCATTTACGTCAAATAATGCTAACACTACAATAAATTCTTTCTCGTTACTTACAATCCTACAAATTACATAAGGCCCAATAAGAACCGCAGAACTACAATTTGTAACCCACACATAAACTTCAATGAGCCGAATATTTTAATACGATACACTATTCGGAAGACATAAATTTAATATTACATTTATTAAATATTCAATTATAATCTAAGTAAACTGCTCGATAAAGGAACAATCGTCGATTCTCAAATTTCTTATTGTCAATGAATCGAATGATTAAACCGATACGAAGTATCCAAAAAGTGTTATTTAATCGAGTGAAAAGAAGGTTGTAAAATCCGTCAAACTTCTTAAACAGATTATTTCCCATTACGTACATACAGTTACTTACTTTTATAAATAACATCTATGGATAAAGAGCTAAAAACTTTTATGATCAGGCTGTCACTCAATTTTACGAATGCATTTACTAGCACGTCATAAAATTAACTGCAAGCGTTATCTTGTCTATGCAGAGTTGATTTACTTCGAAATTTCTCCGATTCTAGTTTTCGTTGTTATCCAGCAATTTTACTACTCAGTCTAAAACAAAACACTTTCACTATTAAAATCCTAACTTAAATATGTACTAGGACATGCAGTAATACATATCGGTCTAATGATAACGTATTGGTCTAGCATCTTAACTCTACGAATATTGTCTTTACAATTATTGTCATATACAAAATATGCACTATATTTTTATTACCTCGGGTCGATTAAACCACAAATTTTAATACTTTACGTAAAAATTTACAACATTTTATAAGCCGAAATAGTTACAATGCGAATATTTCACAATAAAACGATAAAGATTTTCCATTAGAACAATGAATACATATTATTTCAATTTTAGTATGAGATCGTAAATAAGTCATAATTTCGGTCCAACTTTAGTAAAATTGCCATATTAAAAACCCTTATCATATAACGATATGATATTATAATGATATTTTTAAATAACCGCAGTGTTCGTTTTAACGAATTTCTGTTAAGTGGAATTTCGAACAGGACAGTGAATCTTATTACTTAAATCCAACTTGTCGTATTTTATTGTCTTGATTTACATTTTAAGGCTAAATTTATATTCCACTTGCCGTTATGTCCTTACCTACATTACACTTTAAACATTCTGGTGTACGAAAATGTATACAACAACCTCAAATTTACTCTTAATCAAAAATTTTACAGCCATGTTTTCATCACTACCTAGACCGCTATTTAATAAAAAATATTGTGATAATATGTTTCGGGTTATTCTTTTATACAGAAAGTTTGGCTATTTTGAAAGGGAATGAAAGTAGAGGAGCTAGGGCGAGGGTGTATTTTGAGATGCGTAGAGAGGTAGCTGCTCCGTAGGGTATGACGACATGGCGTGGAGGGCCCGATGGGCGTACTTTTTGACGCTCCGTCCTTTGAGCATACTCGTTGTGAGTGTTATTGGGAGGGCCATACGCATTCACATTGTACAGGTTAAATGCGTTATTGAGTTCAGCCTGCCTCAAGTCCGAGTCTATGGCGTTCTGACGATCGTGCGGCTTTTTCAGGTGCCGCTTCGGTGGTCTCGTGGTCGTTGACGTAGTGGTAGTTGGTCGCGGAGTGGTAGTCGTGACTGTGGTTGTAGTGGTCGTAGTGGTCGTCCGCTGCGGCGTTTCTGTTGAAAATATGACGAAGTAATGAATATTATTACTTATAAAACCAACTATTAGAAGTAGTATTGATTGTATTTCTATAAAACAGAATAAACCAATATGAGTTTATAGAAACCAGCTAAAATCACGAACCCAACCCTCAGATCTAAAATCCTAAAGACTCAGTCGTATGTATTTACGAAACTTTGATCTTTTTCATTCCTGGCTGGAATTCACGATGAGATCCCGATCGGCGGCCGCAAACTTATTCCTTCGCCCGTTGAAACTCAGAAAGAAAGTCGGTACTGTGAATTACTTAGCGAGGCCTTAGATTTATGATACGTTTTATATAGGGTTGCCTGATATTGCTCACCTTTCAAAGTAATGATCCCTTCGGCCTTTCCGTATCCGTTGACGGCCGAACAAGAGTACTCGCCGAAATCACTCTTCTTTAAGCGAGTGATTGTCAGATTCATGCGAACGGCGTATTCGCTTATTATTTCTTCTGATATGATGTATTTAGAGCCATTAAGCAGCTTGCCACCTAGAGAGAGAAAAAGGTAACTATAATTTTTTTACTAAATAAATGTGTGTGTAAATTCTCAACCATGCTCCCCTTACTTAAAACGTCCGACTAAAAAAGAAAATTTTATTGCCTTTTGTAAATACATATATTTTATTTATAATCTATAGAAAACTCGCAAAGCGCAACTCCGAACACAATATGTAGCAAATCTTTTAAGTCACGTAATAAATACTTGTTCTCTTTACCAGATCTTTTAATACGCTATGCAATACAGAATGCGAGCGGAATATGAGAAATCGAATGATACGAAATGCGTATCGGATGTACAGAATAATAGAGTGCCATCTTATAAATCCTGGATATAAGGAGTGTAAATGTAGGGAGCGGCTGGAACGATCTCCATAACATGCAAGACCTCATGTGTATTTAGTACAACAGAAAATCCTTTTGTTATAGTTTTTACCGCTTATTCATTAAATAAGAAGTAGTTATAGTTCAGTCATAAAACACGGTATATGCAGCCAAAAGGTTGTCAGTTTGTTACATGAAATGGTCCTGTTTTAAAGATAAATAAAAAAAAACAACGTCTGGTTTATAGGTAGTTGAGTAAGCACAGTAGAATTTGGCCTTAAATTTTGTCTAAGAGTAAAACTTGTTCCCAGCTGATAGGAAGTACAGGGGCGGTTACAATTATAAACTTCGGCGTTAAATTACGCAATGGGATTATAGCCCAAACTTAGATATTTATTTTTAAATCAAGAAAATTTAATAACAAAAGCCAACGGAGACATAATTAATAATAATAATTAATAATGGGCAGGCAACTCTAAACAGTAAAAATATAACCGTGATGGGTAAAGCATAGAGTTCACTTTCAGATACTACGTATATAACTTTCAATCTAGAAAAAGTTTGCGAGTACATGAAATAGTCTTAAAAGGGCGTGATCACTAATCACTAACTACACTGATTATTTGACAATAATGTGTCATAGTACAGGGTCCTTTATGAGACCAGACAATTGTTGTCTGGGAGATTATTATTACTCTCCTAAGACCCAACAAACTACAATGGAAAAGCTCTTAAACCCCAATGTACATGTATATAATGTACTAAACAAAAATGTACTAAACAAATTACATGCTTCAGACCCCAAGCAAGTATGCTCCCAGTTTTGTGTGTAGACGTCTCTTTCTTGATACCCTATGGTCATATGGAGTATACGACGTTAAATTTGAATACGATATATTCGTTATAATGTACACTAGGCTTTTACGTGATCATAGGAATAATATATTTATATTTTTTTAACCGATTTCAAATAAAGAAGGAGGTTCTCAATTCGTCTGTTTTTTTGTACGTATGTTACGCGATAATTCCGGTATTTGTGAACCAATTGTCATGATTCTTCTTTTGTTGGAAAGAAGGTACCTCAATAGTGGTTCCATTTAATTTTGAAGAAAATCATCCACCTCTAAGGATGACTGTTGATTGCCGTATGAAGATTCATTTTTATAAATAGCACAATGAGCAATTATTTTAATGGTTGATTTTGCGATTCTTTAATTCTAGGCGTTTTTCTCTCTCAATATACTTTGAGTAATGAGAACCGATTTTTATTATCTCCTGCGTCAAGTCCCGTACAATGGCGAACTAGATGAATCCGGGTTTGCGCACATTCTGGTAACCGATTTCAATAAAACTTGGTAATTATACGTAATTCCACGTACTTTTGAGGTCGGTTTTTTTAGTACTCTGTACTGAGATTATCTTATTATGATACAAAATGACTTGACGAACAAGTCGTGTGCATGGTTGTAAGAAACACGCCTGTCCATAATAGTTGCAGTGTCACTCAGACCTTTAAATCGCAAAAATCTGAAGAGCACTGACACACAAGATATTAGTTGACACGTCACATGTGCCTGTGATTTCACCAGCACTCTTACCCTTCAAAACCGGAACGCGGTAATACTGACATACTGCTTGGCAACAGAATTAGGTATGGTGGCAGTACTTCCCTGGACGAATTCACAAGGAGCTTTACTGCTACTGAAGTTTCGTTACCAACAACCTTCAACTAGTCACAAAATCAAATATGTTACCGGCTTGTGACTTGCCGTGCTGCCAAGTGTTGAGCGACTTGGGTGATGCGTCAACGAAGCACTGCAGAGTCACTTGCATGTCCACAGCTCGTAGTACCACTGGGCTGACCACGCGGACCAGGGGCTCGACTGTTGAATTAAAGCGAAAGGATTTAATTATTAATACAAAGATCGAACACTCAGAAAAAACACTCGGAAAAAATTCCTTCGATCCGGTCGGATTTGAACCGACGTCTTCTTGCATACCGTGCCAGACGCTATACCAACTAAGCCACGGAGCGAACCAACGGACCTCACGAATTTTTCTATGTGCTTGCGTCGTGTCTTTGTACTTGGTTTTTCAACGACTTTTTAGTCGTAGCGCCATCTATGAGAAATCTTTGACAGATTTATCACCCAGTTAGTACCTTTACAGCAACCAGTCCTGGTGAGAGATGTCGCTATTCACTGTATTAATAAAATTTTTATTGAACTGATATTCAATTATTTTTTGTGAAATTACTCCACTAGTTTGTTATAATTATTAATACAAAGATCGAACACTCAGAAAAAAACACTCAGAAAAAATTCCTTCGATCCGCAAAAGGATTTGTTTTTTTTCACTCAACCGAATCGTTCATCTTAACCTTGATTTATATTGTCTTTTTTCCTTTAGTTAACTGTGACATCGTTAAATTAATACTATATAATTGAAAAACACCTAGTTTGCATAATCATAACAATCGTGGAGGAATATAAAAAAATACAAGATAGATCTCAATGATTGTTTCTGTAAAATATTTTTTTATAGTACCAAGTGACGGGACGAACTAGTGCCTCCAAAACAGTTGCAGTGCCACTCAGAGATTTAAATCACAAAGATCTGACGGGCACTGTCGCTGCACTAGTCACTATGGGGCATAAATTGACAAGTCTCATGTGCGTGTAATTGCACCAGCACCCTTACCCTTGAAAACAGAAACGCAGTAATGCTCACATTATTGCTTGGCGATAGAAATAGGTAAAGTGGCAGTACTACACTGAATAAATTCTTTCACAAGAAGCTCTACTGCAACTGCATAGTTAAAGTCTTGTATTAATTTTGACCAGCCAATACTTACAAAGCACCGCCACTTCGTAGCGACGACTTTTGGTTGGGGGCACACCGTTAGCTGCTATGCACAAATACGTTCCCATGTCCGACCGACGGAGTCCCTTCAGCACCAGATTAGACCCCACGAAGCTGTCCACAACTGCTCAAGATTAAAATTCAATATTCACATTAAAGGCGCTGAAACATATGTTTTTAGTATTATTAATAATAATATTTGTATTAATACCATTGACTTACAAATAAATGGACGACGACGGGTCTAATACAAAAACCACGAAAAAAATGTCCCAAGTCAACCTATTCGAAATTTAAATTGTAATGTCATCGCAGTATCGCGCTGTCAGTCGAACAAATGAAGACTAAAGCGGAGTTTGGCGCTCTGTATACGATTTTAGCGCCTTACAAGTGCGGACACTTTTTAGCGCGGACCCGACGTCCATATAATTGTAAGTCAATGATTAATACAGAAATCGAACACAAAGAAAAATTCCTTCGACTTCTTGTGAAGACCTTAATCTGCGACCTCGCTGTACCGTAGTGTCACTCCGCCAACTGAGCTATAGGTCGAGTCGAGGAGAGAGGTGATAAGAATATCGTGAAATTCAGTGAAAGGTAATCAATAATACATTTTTTTATAATAAATACAAAGTTCGTTCAAAGTCCCATCGAACTCTACTATATACCAAAACTTAACATTGATTCCGAAAGGAAATTTGAGAATCGATTTCAAGGGCTGCAATTAGCCGATATCGATTTGTGTCTATTAAGCTGGTAAACGTTTACTACATGCTTAAACATGACTGGAAAATGTATATAAAAATATATACAACCTTTTCGGTAAAACTGCAAAATAAAATTACCTCAACCTTTATTACACTGTAATGAGAACTGCCGTTTCTTTTAAATATTATTTGATTGAGTTTTATATGAGTTTTATGCACTATACGTATAAAATTTCATAGGTACTTCAAAAACATTTAATACTGTAAAGCACGATATCCTACTCGAAAATTTAGATGATTGCGGTATCAGAGCTCCTTTGCTAAATTGATGCAAAGACTATCTCCAAAATCATTCATATTATACCAAAATTGACGAATCTCTCAGTGATCAGGTGACAGTTACTGATGGCACAACGCAAGGTTCTGTACTAGGACCATTGCACTATTTGACCTATGTTAATAGCCTGCCCAATCTTATTTCAAAGTGCGACATATTCCAATTTGACGACGACACTTGTCTTCTAACAGCAGATACTGTTATCAAATCCGCACTTGACCGACTACAAAATGACTTCAACCTACTCAATATGTGATCGCATGACTTTAGATTTGTCCTGAATGCAAGCAAAACAAAACTTTTGAACATAAGTTCCTCTCAAAATAGATTAGAGACGGATCTGAAGTTAATTGCTCACACACATTGTTGTATGCACTCAGATAGACAAATAGCATGTAACTGCCCTCCGTTAGAAGTAATCTATAAGCAAATATATCTCGGTCTAATTGATAATAGAATGAAATGGATTCCCCATATCTAAGGTTTATGTGATAAGCTTCGCGCAATTTTGGCAAAATTTTCATAATTAAAAATAAAATTCCGTTTCAAACAAGACTATTATTGTATAAAACACTTGGAGAATCTATTATAGAATATAAGAAAAATTACACCGAATTGTTTGCGTTTTGTAGAATACTACCTGTTATGTATAAGTGGGTATTTGCCGAAAACACAATCTGTGCTTTGGCTTTTTTCTGTACCGCAGTTCAAAAATAAACGTACTACGATTAACACCGTGTTCATTATTTATCACTACCGATACATGAAAAAGTAAAGTATACCCTATTAGTAGAACAATTCTTCAACACAGATTTACAGACATAAAAAAATAAGAAAAACCCAACCAGAAGTAATACACAACTGAGGTTCGCCTTACCCAGGTGTTAAAATCAATACGGTTATAACCAACTTAACTACAAGATACCCTTCTTAAGTAATGAATTACCAACTACCCTAAAACAAGAACTGAACCGCCAAAATATTAAAAACAAACTAAAAGAATATTTTCTTGAAAACATAAACTAAAAGTAATTTGAAATTGTTTTTGAGATAATTATATGTATGTATGCAAATATAATAAGTGTACTAATTATATTATATATTAATTTAATTTATATACATTAAAAATTAAGGTTTCTTTTTTACGAGCTTGTTTAAAATGTTAAATAATACAAACAAAATACTTGAACTAACCTAATCCTATTTAATTTATTAACCAGATTCATTCACACACACACACATTGAGTCACATCCACATACAAACAAACAGTAAAATTGTCCTGGCATTCGCCCGCGCACCATCCTTAACACATCACACAATGTACACGACCGAGCCACTTACACACACACAAACATACACAAGCGCAGCCAAACTAACGCCGACGAATTTTAGCTATGCACGGGAAAACGACATAGTTTATGATGCATTAAAACATGTTTTGTATGATTTTTATGTGTAAATAAATAAAAATTAATAAATAAATACAAAAATAGATCGAAGAATGTATTTGCTATTTAATAACAGCTGTGAAGATCTTCTTCGCTGGACTTGTGATTTGTTTAGTTGTTGTGGTTTCGTCTCTTGCTCTTTTACGGAGATACAATTACCAATAAGTTCTATAAAGGTTGGAATTCCTTACACGCGCCTAATCTAGATCTCATGTGAGTCATAACCTCTTAAACCGACACAAACTTCTAATTAACTCTCGGCATCGCTAATCTCCGAGCAACACTTTAATCAAAACATTGTTGCGCAGGCATACCGCCATTTAACGGTTGCTGTCAAATTAAATTTAAATGGAAATAATTTATAACTTTATTATAGCACACGACCCCCCCTAAATCTCGAGCGCGGACATAAAATACTGCGAGTCTGCTGCGTATAATATCAGAAGCGGGCCTGTATGAAATTGTGTTTTATTAACGGGTTATAAAGTTTAGCGTGACATGTCGTTCCCAACTTGTTACGGGCTCCGCTCCCTCCCGCCACTTTATGTTATTATTGTTCACAGGCTAATTGTTTTCCGATTCAATTTTAAGCCAACAATTTTCTTCCGCTACATCACAAAATACAAGTGAAGTTACTTTAGGTTACACTGATTATCCTTTGCACTTCCAAGGCTTTTTTAAGAAAGACATTCAAACTAGGTGTAAAAGGCTTTGTTGAATAAATTCAACAAAGTTAAAAATCCATAATGTTTTCAATTTTAATCGCGACTCAAGAAGAGTCTCAATTGTTATGAAAACAATTTGTTTGACGTTACCCAACTTTGACCTAGTTATAATTACTTTTCTTAGGATATTTTTGTTATTTATTGGCCGATAATATAATAAGGAAAATTATGTATTTCCCGGAGTTAATTTAATGATTCGTTTGCGATGTTTCGCAATAAGTGAGTTAATTAAAAGCTGGATTGCTCTGACGACGTCGCGCTGTGTCGCCTCCGACTCGCTTTGAGATAATTACTTATTACCTATTCATACGCTATAAGTTTTTAATATCTTATAAATGATATCAGACATTGTTAGTAATAAAATAAAACAATTAGCGTTGAGGACATTTTTATTTCATTTTGCCTGTAACATTTTATATTCTATATTTTTCGTATCTTGCTTTCCAAACCTATGCATTTAGCCTGTATATTTCTTTTTAATTCTATTCTCGTATTCAGCATTATCAGCTCATATAGTTCTCCACAGGCGTTTCATAATAAAGAAACCAGTGACAAAATCGTATTCTTGGTAAAATAAAACCGTTATATAAAAAAGTGGTTTTATCGAACTAGATGAGAAAAATTATGACCTATATGTGATATTTAAAAAGTCTCGTATTTAAGCATGAAAGTTATCGACTATTTCGTTCGTACAATCTTTAAATAGGGTGCGAAATAATAATAATAATGACGGACACACTCATAACCCCGCCCTAGGGGTACCCTGTATCGTGGGTGTCATAGATAACCACAAGTTAGACCCAAACTCACGAGAAAAATAAATTTAAGCCAGACAAGCGTTTCGCCCGGCCCGGAAATTGAACCCACGACCTCTGCGTGGCAGCCCAGCATGACAACCATTCGGCCACAGAGGCAGCAGAGAAATGTACTAATGTACACGAAACCAGGCCATAAAAAAACAATTTGAGAAATGTTTTACATTCATTGCAAACAATATTTCACAAAAACTTTACCTCCTGGTACGGAATTAAAATTGCTGTGAAAACTACAATGTACTGGACATAAGCACGAAGTTAAAAACATGAGTTTACTCGAGTGTCGACTTCCGAAACAGAGTAAATACGTAACAAATGAGAGCCGACGAAAAGAAACAAGAAAAAGGGAAAGAAAGAATCAACGTTGAATACCCACTCAAACGGCAATACCTATTTAGTGAAGCGTGTATAACATGTCCAATTAATACAAAAGCAGAGTCGGCCCCACCACTCTGTTAACTATTACAGCCACCCTCCCTACCGCGAGCCGAGTCTTTTGTTTACGCTTAATGGCTTAAATAAAACGGGTCAAATTCGTAAAACACCACCCAGAAAAGGTTTTAAATACGCCCTCTGAAAACCCGCAATTGTGTGCCTAATATATCTCATTATAAGGTATAAATTACAACCCTGGATTACATATGGTTAAAAGGACAACAGCGTATGTGTACATTAAAATGAGTAGCCCTATAATTGCTCGAGCTTATGTGTTTTCACCTACTCCGGCGGCGGTGGGCAAAGGGTATGTCATTATGACTATAAAAGATAAAACAGCCTTTTGTCAAGTCGATTCTCACTCTCACTAAGCCGTTCATTTAATTTCCTGCAGAAACCTGAATTGCTACATTATTTTGTTTAAGCAGTAATTGAGTTCTTTGGACACGTTTTTTCTGCGGAAATGAATTTTGAGCTATAACCTCAGGCTACTCATGTTAACTTTCTTTCAAGCTATGAGTTTTGACAACTTTTTCAATATTTATGGCATCTGAAACTTGCAATGAGTAAAAGGCTCTAATTTAGGTAAGTTATGTGTTTTATTTGATTGTGCTTTTTACATGACAATAAATAATATTTTCAATTGAAGTTTTATAAGCTAAATGCAAGCGCTTTCAGGTAGCCATTCAAAACCCAATTATCTCTGGGCGCGCGGGTGTCGGTAATAAATATTTTATCCTTCCCATTATCAAACATATTCTTCAAATGTCAATCTGCGCCGCGCTGTACATTTATTTCGTATCGGGAGTTTTATTTTCCAATATTTAAGGGCGATATCTTAATAAATCTGATAAAACTGGAATGTTTTAACCACGCGAGCACCTGCGCCCGCTTCGAGCGGGCTTTGAATGCAAAATTAGTCTTGTTTCTTTTTTACCACTTACTCGAATCGCGCCGATGCGAATAAAATTCAAAGGAAAATTGACGTTTTATGTCCTGCTTTTTATGTGCATTGAAGTGAATGTTGGCTATAGCCGTTAAATGGGGTCGCTGCAGCAAAATATAAATTAACACTGAACTGAATTATAGATTATTGCTTTCATTCTCATAGAGTATAACCGTTCAATAGTTTTAGCCGAAAATCCGATCATAATTTCCGCATTTATTCACCATTGCTAGTTACGTGGCTTCAAACGTTTTACTTTGTGCAGCTTTTACGTTGGCAGAATGAAATTGGTTTTAGTTAGCAGTAAGCCCGGCTTTCGTTAGCTTAAACCCAAACATTGGGTAGCTTAACTCTTTGAATACTTAGTAAAATATGTTCCTTGTCTAAATAGCCATTAATTTTACACGAACAAAATGTGTAACTTGCGAAATTTATTTTATTCGTGTTTATATTATTAACAAACATTAAGATAATTTAGATCGCAATGTAATCATAATAAAAATATCAATATTTTATTAATACAGACATCTCTGCTCTGCACGTTACATTATTTTGAGATCTAATTCTATTGCAATTCATTAAATCGATATGAATAATTAAAAGACATAATTATAGAAAGCACAAATTACCTTTGACCTCTTTTCCGCTTTCGTTTCGAAACACGATGTTGCGGCCACCAGTACGCTTCCACGATATGATGGGGTCGGGCACGCCGGTCGCAGTGCACCGCACCTCTACGCTGCCGCCCTCCAATGCACTCGCCTCGGAGCCTGTATCGTCAGCGATGTCTGGTGGAATCACCACTGATAGGTGACCCATCTGTTGGTATATACTTTTTATTTACACAGGTTTTGATTAATTAGTCTTGTTTGATTAAAAAAAGGAAGAAGTTCTGAAGGAGTCACTTTTTATTTGTGTAGGTAATCAATTATAAAGGCTAATTTGACCAAGTGCTCAATGCAAAAAACAATTTAAAACGTCGAAACTATTCTGGGAACTGTACTGAGGTGGTAAAGAAAGTTAATGTAAAAAGTTTTTAAAGACATTGTAAAAGAACCAATTTCGTGTCATGTTCGAGGCAAATTGCTACGACAGCGTAGCAAATTACTACGGCAGCGTAGCATACCGCTACTACAGTAATTCCGTAGAACAGAATTAAAAAAGTTATTTAAAAAATTAGAATATAAAAACCTGTACGTGACTGCGCGTCGATAATCGAGCACATTATCTAAACAGTGTTGGGAGCGGGACGGGGCGGTGCGAGTAGACAAAGGAAAACACAGTCATTACACCGCTCTCGCGGGAAACTACTAACTTCACGTTTAATGTCGCCGTGGGGAAGTAAACACGAATCGCCCTAAAACTAGCTCCCTTCTTTATGCTCTTCGAATCAAACGCTCACAGATAACTTTTCATTACTATTCCTAAGAGTAACTGTCGAACGTGTACCTCGTGATGTGAGTACGCATTGTTTTTATCAGAATGAATAATGGCTTTGAAAAAAATATTTTCCGTTAATATCAAGCTAGTAAGATATGTCTTCGTTAAATTATATTTCATGAAAGTCCCATTGTACGCGAGTAACCTTTGAGGAAAACCGATAATATTATATCACCGCCTGAGCGACCTGGGTTATATTAGACACCTATTACGTTTGATTGACTTTTCACCATAATAGGAATTTGATTGTTTATACAAGTTGGTTGTCCCTCAATCTAATAATGTTGGGGCAGAAGTCCGTGAATGTTGCATGAAGACGTATTGTCCCTATTCCGAGCGCACGGCGGAGTGACTTTGACAAAATTCCAGGGACGCCCGAAGTGACGTTTGCTCTACTATTTGTCGGAAACAGGTACAAATAAAAATCGTACTGTAGAAATCTGTGCCAGAAAACCATTTGCGTTGCGCTCCAGAGGCACTTGCGATAGATTTTTTTTTTTTTGCATTTTGCATATAGATTTTTTTTTTTTTGCATTCCGACACTGTTCCATGACCTGAGTGAACATGACGAACGGGCTATAGAACTTAATCAATACAACAATTTCAAGTAAATTACACTTGATGCATTTTGCTCACTGACGTTTTGATCACTGTGCAAGTCGTTATTAAAAATGTCAATAGCTTGTTTTACATTACTAGGATTTGGACTTGCGTGTACAAAAATTGGCGTATCATCAGCTTACATATGAGCACCGCTGTACTTGATTTTTACTAATAAATCAAAAGTGTAAATAAAATAAAGCGTTGGTTCGAGAGCAGATCCTTCAACAACTCCTCGCCTCACAAGTAGAGCCAACTTGACACACAGATCTATCGTTTTCATCTGCACTTTCAACTATTTATGTGCTATTTTCAAAATAATTTCTAAACCAAGAACAATAGACTCTAATAATATATTTCTAACTAGGCAATCAAAAGCACGACTGTAGTCCAATAGTAACAGGATTGTAGTCAAGTTCCTGTTGGAGCCTGTTAAGATTTCATCTACTACATGCATAAGAGCCGTAGTAGTGCTATGTATTACATTCACAGTAGGAGCAGAAAATAAATTTGAGAAAGAGAAAAATAACAACAAAGACGTTTAATTTTTGTTACTTATGAAATTAGACTATGAAAATCAAACGACACGATATTTTATGTCTTTCCATCATTTTATTAGACTCCTTGTACCTAATACATTCATAGTCAATGTAAACGTTCAGAGTTTGTTAATAAGATGCGTGCAATAAATCAGCACTTACCTATGAAATTAAGATTATTTGACTTTGACTTATGAAAACTTGTTTGCATATATACACAACAGAACAAGTCTAAAATCTTATACACACAAAATATAAAACAATTGTATCTGAGTTAAGAAAAAACATCATAACAAATATTCAAACATTAACTTTAATTGTATTATATAGTGCAATGTTTAATATCCTGATATTGACTGATTGTTTATTTTATGAAATTGAGTGTAAGGATAAGAAAGAAAGCAAGAATGTGCTGCTTTGCAATCCGAATTCGACCTAAATAACGGACAGAAAGCAATTTTTGTTTGTGCACACAAATCAAGTATTCTGTTGTTCTCGAAAGAACTTCAACTGGCATATGTCATTGATAGACTTTGACAAAATTCCTCGCAACTCCCAAGTCAGGCGATCCTGACGGGCGTACGAACGCACGAGTGCCCCCGAATCGTGAGTATTCCACATATATGTATGTATTTAACTGTAGAACATTCTCAAGTTATACTAATTTCAACTTCAGCTGCAATATGATAATTCTTAAAGTAGCTACATTACGTAACCTATACTAAGGTACAAGATACACAGCAACAAGAAATTTCGAAAGTGCGGGCAAGAATAAATGTAGAACAATTACAAATCTTGATATTGTGTAACTCTTCAACAAAACAAAGCGAGACACTGAAAGACAAAGCAAACAAATGAACATTAAACAATTAAATTTAAAAACTGTTTTCACAAAGTAAAAGAGTACTCGGTATTTAGATTGTAGGTGTTCAGTTTATCAGTACAAAGTCACCCCTACCGATGGTGGTAGTGCAACGTCCCGAAACAACACACGGTATTTGAAACATTTCTCACACATTTTCGTAAAATTTGTTATCTCGCAACTTTTGTTCAAAAGCACTTCCTCTCTCGTTACAAAGATAGATAAGCTCCAACATTTCGCATTTCCCATGTTTCTGTGCTGTGTAAATTTTGTACAGGCAGCTTGATGTCACATGAATTATGCAAATTCTTACTAGTGCAGCTTGCGAACCGACTGGATCGGAGATTTACATCCGCAAAGAGCTCGTGGCGACCTTGCAGTGAAATAAATATACAGTATCGGTGGCCAATATTTTCATAAGCACATCGGAATTGCTTTCTACCTCATCGTTATTGCAGATATGCGTATAATAAAATAAGTTTTTAAAGCATTATCTTAACGAAACTTGTGTTATTTTGTAAGTTTCTGTTTAGGATAACTGTTCTTTTTTTATTCCACTTTTTACCATCTAAGGAAATTTAAACTTGACAATCCCTATCGGTATTTATTGTGTAAATTATTATTATTATTTCATTTTTATTTTCTTTTCTACTTTCGCACTCCTCAAATAGCTTAATTCAAGGTCTGTACTAATTTTGTTCCATAAATTGCTTGTTACACAAACGTGAGACCGTAGCTCCTGGCAGGGAGGTTGAACATCAGTGCTGTGCAAACTGAATTTGTACAGCATATACTGAGCTCAGAATCCTCGCCACACATCTGTAACCATAGACATAGTTTTGTGCTTGTAGTTACTATTTATATGTTAGATTTTTCATTTGTATGTTTTTATGTTTTTTTTTTGTTGTGTGTGGCAAATAAGTGGAATTTTGGAATTTTTGTAATTTTATATTAGTCTCATGATATTCATATTCGTTACTTTAACAATACTTTCTCAACTTTGATAGTATGCTAATGGTATTGATATAATAATCAGCTAACCCTAATTACAAATATTATTAGTCGTAGTAGTAGTATTTGCACTGAAAGCACACATTGCTAAAACTATGGATAGAGGTGTGACATTAATGCGGGTAATCCTTAGCCAATAGAATCAGAAGCCTTAATTTTATTCTGACCACGGCGTGCGTACAGGATTTTAATAAAAATACCCAATCATAAGGCAGACGCAAGTCACGTCCGGGCTTTCCTCGCCGCCTCTGGCGTAAACCTTCGTTTTACGTGCACGCATCAACAGGTAAGTGAGTCATTTGTTTTCTGCGTGAAACATTTCTCTTGAGCTAGGTCATGACGGCAGGATAAGTTGAGACAAACTGTGAAACGAACTTGGACGAGCAAAAACGTTACTCCATTTTTACCCATCATCCAGCCCAGTCCAGCATTTAGCTTTGGATTTTTTATAGTCCCAGAGACCAGTTACTAAAATTAAAACCGCAACAAACGAATAGAAATGTAATAAATAGAAACAAACAAATAGAAATAAAGGAGTGGACATTCAATAATCTTAATTACAATTATGAAAGAGACATCTCTAGTCAGCTGCTAATAGTTGTAAAGGTAGGTTTAGTGAAGAAATAGACTTCTCACAGATGGTGCTACAGCAAAAATGTCGTTAAAAATTAAAAACAAAGTTCTGCAACAAGCAAAAACAACATAGAAAATATCTAAAGGTATACTGGTTCATTCCGTGGCTTATTGGCAGAGCATCTAGCATTGACTGCTGAAGGGAATTGATTCGAATTCAGCCGGGTCGAAGAAATTTCACTTAAATAATATTTTAACGAACTAATGGAGTAATTTCACAAAACATTCGACAAACTTAATTACAAATAGAAATATAGCCCCAACTATTTCAGTTCTCCAAATTAATTGCTTATGTAATTTAGTCGCACTTCCGATACTACAAAGTTAGAATTGCAACCCATAATGCGCAATGAATTACAGCTGTGAGGTTTTTAATTACTTTGATATATAACAACATAGTAAACTGTATGCAAATTGAATGTAAACGCTTTTAATTGACATTTAGCATAGTTGTTAGAGAGTATAATTGGTGAGAGCTAGTCAATTAGAGAATGTGAAGCGTTTTCGGAGCTATGATGTGTGTGGTTCACAGAAGCGGCCAACCAATTATTTGGGGCCGGAGTCCGCTAGTGACATGCGCTATGATAGACGACCGCGCCGCCTGTTTATTACGTTTTTTACTTCCCTTGACCTTCCACTAAACCGTTTGCTCTTTAACTAGTCTACAGTTTATCTACCACAGAGGACTAGCGATGAAAATCGACTGATATTCTTGACCATTTGCAAACACGGTG